TCTTTACGACTCTTTGTATTATCTGAAGTTATAATAGCATTCATACAATAATTTTATAATTAGGGGAAAAAAACCCAAAATTATCTCCATTTATTTAATGAGAAGAAAAAAATATTCAGAGAGGAAAAATAAATAATTTCTATCTATACTAATTATTTCAAGATCCTTGAGGCCACCTTGCTTAACTGACTCGCAAATAATATTTGTTTCAACCCAGACTTGAAGATCCATTTTTAGAGTCTAAGACAGAGAGGCAATGCATAGTAGCAAATTTTACATCCATTTATAATATTCATTTGCTTAATATTAGGATTGGAGGGGAAGAGCATCTAAGAGAAGTTATTGCTATGGGTGCACTCTATAATTCTAATCTTGGTTACTTATATCAAAGTCCATAGTTTCGGGGATAAAATATTGAAATCATAAATATACACCATTAACTTTTCTTGTTTTATGCTTTTGAGTTCAGTAGGAGTTCATGCAAAACAAAACAGAAAAAGTGTATCAAAAGAACAGGATCTAAGTGATAGTAGCAATTGGGAAGAAATGACCTAAATGCTTATATTTAAACCTGTCAAATGTGTTTAGATTATTTTCATAGACATGGATATGTAGTTTTCATGTGTATCATGCATATGGCTTGTTTCAGATTTAGTGTTATGAAACCATTTTAGACACTTTGAATCCTGTGTTAATTTTGCTTTCATAGCTGCTTTAGTATTGAGGGCATGCCCAGAAATCTACAATTAAATTCTGCTATGGTTTCTCAGAAGATTACTAAATTGATTACAGTTCACCAATACATACGTCTTCTGCCCAAAAGAAAATAGACTGAGAATAATTTTTCTTGGGTTGACAGGCAAACTCATTCCATGTTGCATTTTTGTTGCATTGATCACATGCTTTATTGTTAGAAAAATCCATGTCTTGTAACTAATTAAACCATGAAGTGACTCCACTGTTTCTGAGAAGTATACTGGTGATATACTTAGGATATTTTTCCTCCTTAATCAACAAAATCTGCATTTTAGTTTTTGAACACCTACTTGGTGGAAAGTTATTTGTTTGAATGAACAGGGTTCACAAATGCAAATGGCTCCAGGGCCAGGCAGGTAACATTAGTTGTGTGAGCTGGACTATCTATAAGGCATTAGGGAGAGGTGGGGTCTTTGGTAAGGCAAACATCATCATGTCCATAAACTCATACAGATTTTTTTAAAACATAAAAACATTTAAAAAAACATAAAAGACATTTTTCTATCATAAAAGGTAAAACTTTAGAGAACTAAGTGATCTTGGAGATCTAGTACACACTTGTACAGCTGCCCAAGTTTTTGTAGCTGGTATCAATAAGTCTGATTGACTGGTACCATTTCCCCAGTTTCTAATCAAGAAACCAGTTTCTAAACTGGTTCAGAGCTTTAGTGTCTTCAAGGTCACATAGGTAGTAAGGGATGGAACTAGGACTTAAAATAAAAATTTCATGTACTTTCTCCCTTCCTCTACAGTTGGTAGGATAGAACTGTCCCTTACCCACTCCTCTGTCACTGTGTGTTTGCCCCAACCAAGAGGCAGCCTGGGACAGACTCTATAGGTAAACTTGTTTAGTGTGGTAGATCAAGAACTAGGAATTTGAAGACCTGGGTTCTAGTCTGAGACTGTAACTGACTAATCAAATGCCTAGATATCAGAGGCAGACCTCAGGCTTGAACCTGTAACCAAACAAAATAAAATGGAGGTTTGACTGCCTGATGTAATGAAAGCCAAATGTATAAGGCAGTTGCTGGTGCAAAAGGAAAGAAGTTTTATTCAGGAGCCACATGATCTGGGAAAATGGCGACTCATGTCTCAAAGACCAGTCTTCCCTTCCTGCTCAAATCTGAGGTTCTTATAGGGAGAGAGAGGGGAGGGCTCTTTCCCCCTATCCAATTATCTTGCTAGCTTTTGTCACACTGAGGGCCCTATCCATTCATATTTCTAGCTTTTGGCACACTCGTGTAAGAACCTCTCCTGCTGCCATCTTGGCCAACATGGGAGACACCCCAGTGATCAGACTGTCTAGGTAACAGATCCAGTTCTCCAGGTTCAAGATTGTCTTCTTTTAAGCATGATATCATGATTTCAATCCAATTTCCTAACAGGTCCTTTTAATGTTTGAATATAAAGTATTTTATGAAACTGACAGAAGGACTCTTTCCCCACCATCTCTTTTCTTTACAGCTTGCATGTGAGCCAACATGAGCCTAACTGGGATTTGCTGTGTTTGTGGTGGCATGGGGCTGTGAATGCCGCAGTTGCTTCAATCATTAATGCATTTCTGCATGCCAACATAATAGACTGCCCTTTGTTACAAAGCTTGGAAAAAACAGGCATTCTTTTGTTTTAGCATGTGTTATTTGTATTCTGTGGTTAAGCATTGTGTGTTATGCCTGCAAAAAATATAGTGCATATTCATTGAAGGGAGTTATATGTAGCTTTTGCCCTTCTAATAAATTATTTTTGCAAGAACCAGCTGGTATTCCAAGAGCTGAGTTCCAGGAAGAAAAAGAAATGACATCTATAGAACATGGGCAAAGGTCTGAAAACGCACACGCCCAATCTGGTGAGGAGGGTTGGCCCGTACGGAGGGAGTGCAGTCAGAATTTAAGGAGAGCTAGGAAAACTGTCCCTTTTCTGCCTGGAAAAGGTTCTTGTGAGATGTTAGGAAGACAGTTTAGGGGGAAAAAATTCCTAAGTAAATAAAATTTCAGCCAATACTTTTATGAACTTCACCCTTCTTTGGAATGTTTTCATTCTCCAGGGAGCAAACAGAGATTGAGTCATTTATACAGTGAGTGAGAACTTTACAAAAAAGGAAACCTCAGGAGATATTTGCTCTTTGGTGCTTTCTTAGGACCCAATTTATGAGCTTTGCAACATTTTCAGAAAAAGATTCATTTCTGAGGGACTTGTCTCTTTTGCTTTCTTCATTACATGGGACTATAAATTTTCATGACTGTGAGGATTCCCTGACATCGTTATCTGCTGCAAAAGTCTGGTCCTCCCACTTAAAACAATAATTTTTTATGTCTGCTCTCCCTCCCTCACCCCACCCTAATTCCTTAAATTTCACACGTAGCATTCTGATTTTATAAACCTTTCTCTTTGATTCTGCAAACTGATTGCTAAATGCATGATATCATCCTTGGAGCCAGGACTGCGTAAACTCTGGGTTTCTTGGGTTCCTAAGTACAGGCTGTGATTTGGGTCCTGGACAGCAGAAGGAGATGTTGAGCCAGAAGATAAGGGTTTTTTTGTTTGTTTTTTTTTGTTTTTTAAACTTAGCATGTAAACAATTAGTGTTACATTTTCAAATAAGAAGTTGAGGACTACAGTGATTGTTTCCGTATAGTGAACACTCTCTTCTTTCAGAGGGTTCACAGCTGAAAACCATTTTATTCAAGTTCTTCTATGTGGGATGAACCTTTGGGGAACCACTTCGTTTTGCTCTAAGCCAAAACATCCATTTTCTGGCCCGTCTCTCACTCCCCATTTTCTCATGGGCGCTCATTTTGTGTATGCAAGCTGTGGCCTGAAGTGTTGGTGGCCGGCTTTGACAGTCCTCTTCAGGGAGTGCCTGCTGTGTAGCTCCCTGGTTGTGGTGGAGAGTTCTGTTGTCATATCAGCTTGCCTTATGCTATTTCAATGCCTCTCATTTCCTCAGAGAGGAAATTTTCCTTCATTTAAAAGCATCATCCTGGAAGTTGGGTACAGACTGACAATCCCCAGAAGAGGGGTGGTGGGGGAGAGATAAACCACAGAACTTATATGCATGTGTGCATGAACAATGGACATGGACAGCAAAGCTGGGGAGAGGGCGGGGAGGGAGGGGGAGGGGGGAATCAGTGGGGGGAAAAGGAGAAACATCTGTAACAAAAATAAATTAATTGATCAATTAAATAAATAAATAAAAAAGTATCATCCCTCCATTTTGAAGAGAAAAGGAAAAGGCCACTTCTAAGGCTGTTGTTACCATACAATCTTCCTCTTAAACAGCAGAGATGGGTGAGGTGTGGGCAGGATTATCCTACTGCAGATCAGAGCTGGGACATTGAAGGGAGTTTCCATTTGGGATGGCCTTCTATACTTTGGTGTCTGTAGTTTCCTTCTCAGAAGACTTATTCCATTGTTTGAGCTGATGAGTAACAATTTTCACTTATTCTATTCTGACTGTGCCAATTCAGTAAATGCTATCATTTGTATTATTGTCAAATGTATTGTCCTTCTTAGAAGCCTGCTATTTTAAGATGGATCGTATTACATTATTCTACAAATTGATTAATTTATTCACTACATAGATGCCCCAGAATTCCTAGAAGATATCATGAATTTTTTTTAGTCTTTCCTTTTCATTACTTAACAATATCACATACCAGATCAGTGGTGCTTAAACCCTTGAAACTCAGCTGACCTTACATACCAAATTCATCAAGAACCCCCAGTTCAAGGCCAGATCAATCCTCACCAGAGGACAATTTTCCATTTTTTGTTCAGATAGAGTGGAAAGGAGAGAGAGAGAGAAACATCGATGTGAGAGAGACACATTGAGTGGTTGCCACCCACATGACCCAACCAGGGCTGGGGACAAACTGCAACTGAGGTACATGCCCTTAGTGGGAACCGAACCCGGGTCTCTTTGGACCAGAGGCCAACGTTCCAACCACTGAGCCAAACCTGCCAGGGCTAGCTTTTAAGTAATTTAGCACGTTCAAGATGATTCTTTTTTTTTTTCTTCTTCTTACATTATGTTTATCTTCCTCCTTCCTGGAATTTGGAAATTTGCTATGGTATCTTTATTACAAAGAACTATTAAGCTTACTGTCGGAAACTGAATCTTGTGTCAGAGTCTGTCTAAATAGTGACAAAATGAATTTACCTCTAGGCCAGTCTCTTGTTAGAGTTAAAAGGTATGCTCTGTATACTTTGTTATGATTTGCTTCCCCCTACCACTTGCCTTTAAGGAAAGCAAAGGAACATTTGTTTGGACAAAACAGAAGTTCTTCCAATGGCCATGTAGTTTTTGAAAAAAAGCAGCAGCTGGACTCAGTTGTGGAAGAAACCGTAACAGGAGATTACGCCTTAATCATAAATGGCCACAGTTTGGTGAGTTCATTTAAGGCTTTTGTTCTTTCTTTTTCTTCACCCCAATAATCGTCTCTTTTGTGCTGTCATAATGAGATCTCTCTTGTGTTTTCCAAACAAATGACACTCCTGGAAACCAGGCACACACAGCAATTTCCTGTTTGCAAGGCGAAAGGAAACGTCTAATATATATTTCATGCATTATTGTTTGAACCACCACAGTGAAGGGAGGATCCAAAGAAATACTGAATTCACAGAATATCAATCTTTTCTAAATGACTGTAGACCATTTAGTAGTTCTGTTAAAGTGCTTTTCTAAGGGAAAGTGTCAGAGTTCGCTGTTATTTAATTAAAATAATGTGACTGGATGAATGTATTGCAATTATTGCTCTTGCTAATGTTTGTGATTTGCAGAGTACAACCCGACCTCATATAATTACCACTCCAAATTATTGCCATTAAGATACCTCTGGTGGTTTTTTTAAATAGCAGCATTTTACAGCAATGCCAAACAATTTGCTTTGATTAGGAAATCTGGTTCTTGTCGTAATAGAATAAACTTGCATTGTACTTTTAATGTAGTTCAGGTTCTAAATCTTGAACAAGTATCAAAACGCTCTTCTGAGTTTCTAATTTAGAAAACAAAAGCTCTGATTGCACTACAATGAAATGATCATTTATATGCAAAGAGAGTTAATCTCACATTTTTCTTCCACTTTGATGATTCTTCTTCTCTTTCGGCCTTTGGAAAATAAGTGCATCTTCTTTTACACATTTTCTTAGAGGACAAAAGCAGTTGGATCTGAGTGTATTGTATTTTCCCCCTGTGATCAGCTGTCTGTTAGCTCTTAGTGCTTAGAGCATTATCCAGCTGGATTCCAGACGTAATGATGTGTTGCCTTCTACACCATGGAAAGTTACAGAGCTCAGCTGCAGGCCAAGCTCAGCTGAAAGTTTGTCCAGATGACACGAACTTCTCCCTTGCACAAATGAATAGCAACTGAAAATTATAAACCTGTCATCTGGGACTTGGAGCTGGTGGCCTCCAAGCTGAATTGACCAGAGACCACAATATAGAAAGGGTCCCTAATGAGCTGCACTTTCTTTTCCCTTTCCTCAGGCTCAAAGAAGCCAGTGTGTGGTGGGTTAGAGCACTCAGGTGATAACATACACTATTCTTTCTGTCTCTCAATATGCTGATAAAGCTAAGATAGATTCTCTTCAAGAACCCCTTCAATGCCTGAAGCTTATGAAACGTCATTTTTCATTGAAGGAGAACTAACCATGTATCTGATAGTATGGTCAGAAGCTTTAAAAAAACAAACAAATAATAATTCCAATTTGCTGAACTCTTGATGCTTTGCAGAATATAATTGGGTCTTTCTTAGAGAATCTAGGTTTTCACTTGTTGATATTAAAGAAAAAAGAGAAAAGGGGACCGTTCTGGGCAAGACAGCCAGTTACATGCTTTCTCTTTCAGAAAGGGCATTTATATTTGAGGATGCTAACTCACAATTTCCCATAGGAATTAGAGACCTTGACATGAGAAATATCTACCTCAGCGCATGTTTTTATAGCCATTTGCCCATCTTTGTATTCATACCGTTTACATGTGCTAGGTATGTTTTGGTCACAGTACTAGAGCATAAAGATAGGATGTGAATCAAACATGGACCTTGCTTTAAGGATTGCCATCTGGTGGAGCAACTAATCTCACAGTGGACTGGCCAATCCTACAAAGAGGAACACACACAGTGCTTTGAGAGCATAGAGGCAGGCACATTTAGGTGTTTTGCTTTTTTTTTGCGGTAAAGTTCAGGGAAGACTTCCTGGAGGAAGCGATATTTTCAGGTAGAGGAGACAGCAGTGCAAAGGCACAGAGGCAAGACAGAACCTGTCAAATTATGGAAATAAGCACTTTGGCATGATGGAAGTAAAGAGCAAACTTAAAGATGGTGGTTGAAGACAGAACTCAAAAGGAACGTGGGGCCACTTGTGAGGGGCTGTGAATATCTTGTTGAAGATTCATTCAAAGATACAATGACTTAAAGTTTAGGTAGATTCCTGTTTCCTCTTATTGTGTTTATTAAATAATGTACAGCAAGATGCTTTCTAGAAAAAATTGCAGTTAATTGCAAAGATTATGCTCTCTTTCAGTTATTGCTTGGCATATCTAAAGGCTGTTCTGTATTTGGAGAGGAGCAGGGGTGGAAATGGTTGGGGAACCTTGTCAGAGATACCACCAATTTTTTGCATGCCACCCTTTCGCACAGGCCTCTCTTGATTTCAATCACTATGTTCTTCAAGGGCTGACCTCCAGATTACCTGCTTTTCATTGACCTGGGGATTAACAACCACCACAACAAACACTAGATATACAAAACCACAATGCAAAGGAAGCAAAAATTCCATCATGGAGAAGAAACAAATCCCAAATTTGTAGTTCATTCTAAACTTGGTGAGGTGGTGAATAGGTCTGTGTTTTGCTTTTCCTTATTTCCAGAGATTCTGGAGCTCCTCTGGCCTGTACTTGTATCTCTCTCCAGTTCAGCGTGACATTGTGTCAAGGAGGACACACAAGGGCCCTGCATCTTTTATTTTTATTCTAAAATTCCTTGGCACTTACTAGGAGTTAAATACTCATTTCTTCAGTTGGTTGTTGTTGCTTAACACGAATTTAACTGTTTAGAAAAGAAATCAGTTAAGGAACAAGAAATCTGCTTCCCAAATGATGCCTCTGATTTATTGTTTCGGTTCTATTCTGGATATCTTTTCTTTTCTTTCTTTTTTTTTAACTAATAGGCTTATGCCCTAGAAAGTGATGTCAAGAACGAGCTCCTAGAACTTGCCTGCATGTGTAAGACCGTGGTGTGCTGCCGAGTCACGCCACTCCAGAAAGCCCAAGTAGTAGAGCTGGTGAAGAAACATAGAAATGCTGTCACCTTGGCCATAGGCGATGGAGCCAATGATGTCAGCATGATCAAAAGTAAGAACGTTGTTTGTAGCAGCACTATTTACAATAGCTAAGATCTGGAAACAGCCCAAGTGTCCATCAGTAGACAAATGGATAAAAAAGCTGTGGTACATATACACAATGGAGTACCATGCAGCTGTAAGAAAGAAACATCTCTTATCCTTTGAAACAACATAGAGGGACCTGGAAAGTATTATCCTAAGCGAAACACGCCAAACAGAGAAAGACAAGTATCATATGATCTCACTTCTTTGTGGAATATAATGAACATAACAGTCTGAGGAATGGGGTAGTCCCAGAGACGTGGAAGTGGGGTACAGACTGACAATCCCCAGAAGAGGGGGTGGGAGGGGAGAGATAAACCACAGAACTTATATGCATGTATGCATGAACAATGGACACGGACAACAAAGCTGGGGACAGGGCAAGAAGGGAGGGGGAGGGGGAATCAGTGGGGGAAAAAGGAGAAACATCTGTAACAAAAATAAATTAATTAATTAATAAAAAATAAAATAAAATAGGGCACTTTGGAAGCATTAAAAATAACACTATAAAGGAAAAAAAAAATAAAAGATCGCTCTGAAAAAAAAAAAAAGTAAGAACGTTAGCTCAGTGGGGGCCGCATACCTGGAGTCCTCAGGTTCAGCATCTAATGGAGATTCTATTATAATTTCATTTTTCTCAGTGGTTCTAAAATGAATACTCTGGGTCCAATGAATCCACCATTGTGAGCATTAATAAAAAGACCTCTTTTTCTGTAATGAAATAATTTTTGTATCTTTAGGCTAGAAACGGAGATTGGTATAGGAAAACTGAACACTGGTCTCACAGTCCCAGCACTTAAGTTTAGTTCCAGCTTTGCCACTCACACATTATAAAATCTTGTGCAAGTTGCTGAACTTTTCTGTGCCAATGTCCTGTTTTGTAAAAGTAGGATAAATACCTATCATGAATGTTTCATGAGATAATATATGTGAACATAGTAATGCTATAGCCGTAAGGTTTCTGTAAATAAATAATACCATAAAAGAGGAATGACAAGTTCCCCAAAGAGATTGCATCTTTGTTTGAGGAATGAAAGTGTTTTTTTTTTTTTGTAGGTGCTCACATTGGCATTGGAATCAGCGGCCAGGAGGGTCTGCAGGCAGTCTTAGCCAGCGACTATTCATTTGCACAGTTTCGTTACCTTCAAAGACTTCTCCTCGTTCACGGAAGGTGGTCCTATTTCCGAATGTGCAAATTCTTATGCTATTTCTTCTATAAGAATTTTGCATTCACACTTGTGCATTTCTGGTTTGGTTTCTTCTGTGGTTTCTCAGCCCAGGTTGGTAAAAAAAAACCAAAAACTTTTCTTTTATAAGATCCTCTGGATTATAATTTACTATGCTTCATGGCTTTTTGCTAATAAAAAGTGACACTGTAGCAGTTGTGTAATTGATAGTTGACTTGAGCTTTAAACCTGAGAAAAATATATATTTAGCTAAAATTCTATTTATTTATTTTTTATTTGCAGAGCAACTAATGAGTACTCATTTCTTTAATTTTTTATTAAAATGTTTTTGTATGATGGCAGGTAAACTTGATATGGAGTTTTAATTCAGAAGTCTGAGAAACAATAACAAGAAATGTTGAGGTATCTCTTTTGGGAAAATGGCCACTCATCCAATACCCTGAATTTAAATATTTTATATTAGGGAGAAGTAATTGATTCCCTGGCATCAAGTATGTTTTGATAGCAATTCATTGGCTAAAAATTTGATATAGAGATTGCGTTGGTTGAAACAAAGAAAAATTCAGCAAATTCTTAAATTAGGATTTGATTATGTCCATTCACTTAACCTTATATCTTGCAAATCAGGAAAGTTTAACCCTGGGTATCAATTGTGAAATGTAAGAGCTACAGTATTTAAATATACTTATGAATTAAAAATGACACTATTATTTTAAACAAAACAACAAAAGAAAAAGATTGTCCTTGAAAGTGAAATGGTAGCCATAATTCTCATTAGAAATTTCTCCAATTATTCTTCCTTCCTCTTGGGTTTATTCACCAGTTTTAAATGACAGGCATGAAGCTGATATTTTTGATCACTTTATTCCAGAATAATTGCGTATGAATTTAATCTTGGCATTTCATGTTATCTTAAAAGTGCCAAGGGAGATTAGCAAATCCTTTTTGTAGTAAACATAGATTTCATACATCTTTTCTGTTTTTCCTGAAAAGTTGAGATTTCTTAAAGTGAGGCACACCTATACCCATTCCTAATTTACTCTTTTAAGGGTAACCTTTTCGGAACTAAAAGTAGAATCTGTTGATTATTTTTGGTAATCTGTAGACAGTTGTAGTAATGCACAATGTTGATTTTAACTTTACCTTGAGAAGGCATGTGGATGGGGATATTTACCTGTTCATAACTCCACCCTTGTCCAACAAAGATAAGGTGGGAGTGTGAACTGGCTTTCCTAGGTGGGTAACTTCCTCTCCATGTAAGAATGAAGCAAGGCTATTTGCTAAGTGGGTTTTCTGAGAGATCTGTTTTTCATATTGCAAACGTTTGAGTCTTTTGAAAAATTATAAAACTATGAAGGGATGTCTTAACCCTCACTTAGACCTCTTTGGGTACAGAAGAGTTGTTAATGATTTGTATACACACAAACACCAAGCTTGGATAGGCGACTTTACTGCCAAAGTTGTATTCATGAAAACTGTGAAGTTGAAACGTATGTTCAATGACTTCTAGCTTCTACATTTAGGTGATTTTCTGCTCTGTTTCTAGGATCTGATAAGATTGGTCAGAGTCAGATGTTAAGCAATTAGATTTTTCAGTCTCTTGCCAATGTTCACATTTAAAAAGAGAACAGCAAGGAGAACAATGATTTCTCCAAAGACATGAGTTAATAAATCTAACTGGTTAAACCCAGTTGTAAGACACACCACCTGTCTGCGATTAAGTTTCTCAAGTGTTTGAATTGCAGATGGGCTGAGCCCCTGGCTGGGATCTGTCAGTTCCAGTGCTGCTGCAAATAAAAATGAGATCCACCAAGAGTGAGATTTTAGTGCTGGTTGCTATAAACCCCGCCCCCTTCTCCATCTCCATCTGAGGCTGGTTGCACCCCTTCAGATTTCCCCAGTGATTCCCAAGAGGCAAGACTGGAATGGGCCTCCCAGGAAGTGTCCTGTAGTGTTGGGAGAGCTAGATGTCCACCTGGGCCTCTCTTTTTCCTGCTGGAGAAACCATAGGCCCAGAGGGCCCCTCTTGGTGCAGTGCTGTGCCACCTGGGTGAGGGGTGATGCAGTCAAAGTGTAGCTGCTCCTCTTTCCTTTGGATGTGGTCGTTCTTCATCTCTGTTGTTCATGGTGCCTCATCCCCCCAGCTCTGTGATTTTCACAGTGGTGTTTGTCTTCTTGTGAGGGGAACTGACATTGAGAATGACCCATGTTGCCATCTTGATGGCATTATTCCTGAAGCTACTTTTTTCTAGAGAGCATTTGTGTGGCTTCTTCCAGTACTCTGGGGACACTGCTTACCTGAGATACATTTCTCTGTTGCAGGATTTTTTGAATTTGGATTTCAAATCTAGTGAATACCATTTCTTGTTCAATTTTTAGGAGATATTTTTTTGCTTCTACCTTTGGCTAGTACCAAGGTTGGCGCTGGCACATCCTGCAGTTCCTTTCTACTCGCAAGATGTGTTTCTCCTTTATTCTCACACTAAAGATTCAGCCCTTGGCTGCCTTGGCTTTATTAGATTCCTCATCTGGTCAAATCTTGGCATTGATAATGGTCTTTCTTAGAATGTATAGTGTCTTAGAGTCAATGAGATTTGGTATTATTATCCAAACTCGCTTGACACAGAACCTGCCCCTCCCCTACAGAGTCCACTTTGGGAAACTCTGCAATACATGTCTCTATGGTGACAGTTTCAAAACCTGACATTGCCCTCCTCTTTATCTTAGATCAGTATTTTGGAAGCAGTAAGATGTATGAAGGACAAAACAATGCTAAGAATATTTATCTCAAAAAAAACCAAAAAAAAAACCCCCAAAAACCCATTTATTTTTCTCCCTTTCAGAAACTTCTGTTTTCTTAATTAACTCTAGACCAACAACAAAAGAGCCCCAATTTATATGCTAAAGTGTGCAGAGTTCACATTTAAACTGCAGCAAAATCCTTTCTACTGCCCTCAAAGTTCTTTTCCCCTGGTTATAAAGATAATTACATGTGAACATACATCAACTTTTATATATCTGAGGCCACACTGTTTGTACCTTTCTTATTTAAACTGAAAAATTCATTCTCTGCTCATAACCACGAGTCATATGACACTGTCAAAGTGCTAGTAGGAATACTTATTTACCATCTTGGGAAGATAAAACAAAATGATGAATAGGACAAATCCCCAACCACCTGCAAATTGTTTTCTTATTGGGAAATTAAAAAATTGCATAAATAAGTCCAATAGAAGTACTGTCATTGAAATCAATATGTCAGCACGGGAAAGGAGAAGTATGTGAGCATCTGGGACAACTGTGGAGTTCAGTCTCAAGAGAAGACATGAGTATTTTCAAAATGAAGTGACGGTGAGGCCCCAAAAGTCCAGCTGCCTGCAGGGATTCAGGGGCTGGCTGGTGTCAAGGTGTGAGACTGTAGAGAAAAAGGAGGAAAACCCTCCGCCTCATACTTGAACACTTTCCAACTGACCAGCAGTCAGCTGAATGTGAAATCTCTTTTTAATTCCTAAAATTCCGTTTAACATCAACTCATTCAGAAACACTTTTTAAAAACTGCACGGCATTGAAGGGGGCTCTTACTTAATGGTGCTTTGTACAGCAAACAGAGTCTTCTAGAACAGGTGTTCATCCATCAGGAAGGTGGAAACTCGGGTGTTTCCCAGCCGCACCCACACACGAGTGGCCTGGTGCGGGAGTGACAATGCGAACTGGCTGTGAGGAGCTCCGATGTGGGACTGGAATAGTTTCTTTCCCATTCTCCATTTTTTTACTAGAAGGTCCAGATTAGCAACAGATTTAACTAAAAAAAATCTATTGGCATTTTTTTTTCTTAGCCTTGTTTTACTAAGAACAATATGCTGAAAATGAGACAAGTGAAAAAAACACACACAACATACTTGAGAGAGACACTAGTCTGCAGGGAATGAGCATTTTTGAGTAGGGAACGTTTCTGTAGTCACCCTTTTCCCTCCCTTGAGATCATTTGGTTGGCTTTGGCCTGCAACGCTGTGTGTTGATTGACAAGGCGTTCTTAGCCTCTGAAGCCCATTATGTAATCTCTTACTTCAGTGTGTAAATGAAAGTCGGCTGTCAGTTCTTCCTACTCCCTGCCATCCCTTCTCCTAAATTGCTTGAATAGAGCTGAAGGTTCCATGTCGAGATGGAGCCAGTAGAAATAAAACTCCGGGTTCTGGCAGATTTCAGTAACAGCAGGTATGTGTTTAGAGGCCCTTCCTTGGTAGACCTGGTCATCCATCCCCCTTCTGTCCCATCCTGATAGGAGTGAGACTCTCAGATGCATTCTCTAACACCGAACATACGGTCTTTGAATTCTCATTCATTTAACAAGAATAAACCAACTGCCAGTTTAGTGCCAAGTGTTCTGCTGGCCTCCAGGGACACCAGAATGAACCAGAGAGATATAGTGTCTGTCCTCAGGGAACTTACATTCTGGGAACAATTTTATTTTCATGGATATGAAATTGATGTTGATTAACTCCGTAATCACCTTTTTTTTTATTTTCCACCAAGAGCTTTTTTTGTGTGTTTTTTTTTTTTTAAATTAAATTTGTCATGGATGCGTCACGTCTTGGGGCCACCCCTGTCCAATCGCAGCATGATTCATGAGCACCTAAATATTTCTTCCCTGTACCTCTTAACAGATGGCTTTGAAGTAATCTACTCTGCAGCCAAAACATCTGACCAAATGTAAACTGGTTGTGCTTTCTTACATACGATGTTGACTTTTAAGAACACCAGTTTAATTACTTAATGAAATGACATATGCTTTCTCTTTACTACATTGGCCTGTCTCTCAGAGCCTGGTAAATTTTATCCAGGCTCTTATTCTGTGATGATATCCCTGGTAGATTCTAGCCAATGCCCCATCCTGGTAGGTGGGCTGGGGAAGATGTACGAGCCAACCCAGCTGTGGCGTGCGAGGCTCAAAAGGGACAGTGGGTGGTATCATTCTCTGCCTGTGGGATGATGGCACTGAGGACATGTCAGATGAATGATGACGTGATGAAGGCTGGGCTGTGCTTGCTTTATGGACTCTCCTCTGGTTGACTTCGGTACCTCGCCTCTGTTGT